ATTTATTTTGTTTGGTTTTGCTCTATAGCCTATAAGGATTGGACGATTACTGTATATTTATTATTTGGACATGAGTTTACTATTGCCATCTAGTGATAGTAAACGAAATTACTAAAATAACTAATTCCTTCTTGAAAGTTATATATGTATATAGTGAATATTATTGGCTTATTTTGAATCAATAAGGTTCGAAGGAGACAAACAATACATTTTGCGAATCATCATAAAAATAAAAAAAAAATAATAAAATTTATAATGTGCTTAAAAAATATATAATTTTGTTTATCCTTAATACGGGATGGAGAAATACACAATTATAAGTTAATATAATATATTTATTTATTGTTGTGGTGAGAGGGTCTACATGACTTTTAAGACTTAGGGACTATATTTGTGTGTGTGTGTATACAGTATATATAAAATCTCTTCCTCCTTACGATCAATAAAAATCTTTTTTATTTTAGTATGCTCTTAATGGGAACGACTGGGTGATAAGAAACGGGACCGTATCGAAGGGCGCATATCAAAGCTCATCTTTAATTTGATTGCATCCATCCTCTTTAGTTATCTTCCGCGATCTTCCAGCAGATGGCGATAAAAATCTAATACTTCTATGAGAAATGCATTCTAAAATTCTCTAAAACAGAAGCATATAGAATCAAACTGCTTTTTGCATTAGAATCCTATTTAATTCTTCTATTAATTAATGTTACAGTTTAGGATTTTGGTCTGCAGGGGTCGAGTCGTTATGGCTATAGAGAGGTGGGTTACCCTTCCAAAATCGAATACAGTATAATAGTTTCATTCGGAAAATATGTCACAGTTGAGAAATGATCAAATGCATCATAAACCATTACAACTCGATCAGTCAGTTGGAAAATTTAATTATGCTTTAAAGATAAAATATGTACTGTATACTTTTATAATATTCTTAAATTAATGGCTACTAATTTGCTACTACTTCAAAGGACTTATCAGAACACAGTTCTTTAATTTGAAAGTTGAATAAGAAATTTCTTTATTAAACCAATATACACAGTACATTTCGGGCTCACCAATATCCTTTATCGATTTGTTTTTTTTTTCACATATATTTGTATAAATATATTTTAAAGTATTATATAAATATATAGTCTGTATGAAAAAACAAATCAACTGATGAAAAGTATTGATGAATCTGAAATGTACAGTACTGTAGGCTACATATTGGTTTAATAAAGAACTCTCTTAGTCAACTTTTAAATTAAAGAACTGTGGTCTGGCAAGTCCTTTGAGTAGTAGTAAATTAGTGGTATTAAGAATATTATATAATAAAACAGGACAAAAAGTTAATAATAATAATAATATGTTTACTTTTTTCGAGTATAAAATTATTTACCGAATTTCATCGATTAAACCTCAAGATTCAAATAAATCCCGGGAAATAAAAATGCTGTTGAAAATTTTTGAATTGAAAAATTTTGTTAAAAATCTTTAATGTATTGTACAACATACTAACATCGCAACCCTAATGTGTAACTGGACACAAAATGCATAATGGAAATTTCGAATTGCGCAGTGGGATTCCTATATTTTGCAGTAATTAATTGTCCGATTCTGGGTTTTAAGTATTTCTTTCTTCTGGTTATGTTAAAGTTAAGATATTTACCAAAATTATACAGTGTACGGTAAAATCTGTCCAAATCGAAACCGAATTAAAAAGTAAACAGCTTAAACGGAAAACATTCTTCGGAATGGAGCGATTTTCTATGTTAGAAAAAACCTGTTCAAAACGTAAACTTGTCAAACCGAAAAAAATATTTGCTATCCTGCGATTCCGGTTTACACAAGTTTTACTGTATAAAAGAGCTACGGAAGAAATAGGATTTACCATTCATATCAAATATATACAATAGGTATTTTTATGCAGCCGTAACATCAATATCATCTTTTAAACTATTAATATACAGTAGAGCGTCGATTTTCCGAAAGTCAATCATCTGAAACGTCAATCATCCAAAAGAATTCCAGTCGGCAAATTTAAATTTTCGCCAGTGCTGTGGCGTTGCAATCTTTGGCTATGTCTTAGGCTACTCAAATATTTTACGTTTTTGACACTAAATTAACATCTGAAGTATAATTTTTTATTATTTTTATATTTTTCAATATATTTATTTTGTTTGTACAAAATAAAAAAATAATTTTTAACGATGCAGTAGTCTTCGTTACGCTTGACATCGACGAAAATTCAACGCGAAGCGACACGCTACGGAGAAAAATTTCGAAATCGGATACGTTAAACTATTTTTTCGTACGTAAATCAGTTATCCGAAATATCAGTTATCCGGACAACCCCAGTCCCCAATTGATTCGGAAAATCGACGCTCTACTGTAATTCACAACCATAGCGCGCATACTGTATAGTAAATTATATCAGTGCAGGCGCACAGTGCACATTGTGCATATCTAACAATTAAGATTGAACGGTGATCGAATTAATAAATAACGAGCAAAAATTATTGTTACATCGTCAAAATGTCAGGCTACAATTTTTAATTAATCATATTTCTCATTTATTTCATTTAAAATATATACTCTCGATCTCAAATTAGTAGTGTCTTGTCCCTGTACATCATACTTTTCCTGATAACAACAGAGTCATGCCGGTTACATATATAATCCCGTTCTGGGAAAAATTTTTGAATTTAAATTACGTATTGAATTTACTAATTGTAGCTGTATATTCGTTCAGTGAATGGTTGTCTCTTTAATCCGAAAATATTTCTCTCCGTAGACTATCTTACAGCAAGTCAGGTCCAGAAACTCTTTTATTGTACTTTCAATTCATATGCATTTCGAACTGGTTTCATTTTCCAGTTTCTCTTCAGTGCACTACAATTACAATTACAGATATTGAGTTTACAAAAATACAAATTAAAAATTAAAATGCGTAGAGATGTCAAATAACAAAAACATTATTACTAGTACCTTTAAGAACTTTATACACTTCTTTTTTCCCTAGTTACATTTATTACCGAAAGAAATATTTTCGGATTAAAGAGACAACCATTCACTGAACTTAAATCACGTAATTTTCGGTTTAGACCGGAAGTTCGTATATGGTTAATCGGAGCCTCCTGCCCCTAAGTTTTCCATATCTGGTCTCGACTTTCATCTACACCACTCGAAATTAAGGAAAGACATACAGACGGATGGACGGACGACAGTGGGAATTTTTAGGTCTACAGCTCTTTCGTCTCTGTAGGCACTAAGGGGACCTCTTTTCAGCAGACCCATTATGGGTTCGGCCAGGCCCACAATGGGGCGGCCGGGTGGTGAGGGATGGGGCCCGACATATCCGGACGGACCACCCCCGAAAAATTTCTGGGGATTTTTTGACCCGTTCGGTTTCGATCCCGGTCCCCCAGAGCGGCAGGCTGTCATCTTGATCGCTCGGCCATCCTGCATATCATTGGAAGATTAGACGACAAGCTGAGAAAATTGTGACTAGCATTTTACTCTTTTTCAACCAGCATTAGACCTATTAGCTACAGTCCAGGTGTTAATTAAATAGGACTTCTGCAGTACAGTATTTTCTTTTGTGTTGGCTCACTAGTGGCCAAGCGGTCTTCGTTCCCTGAACACTGGGAGTTCGGCTGTGGGCTGGCCACGTGGAGTTTTCCGGGTTTTCTATAACGCCTGAATAGAGGCCAGTTTCCATTAAAAAGACCTCCCAGAAGGCATCCCCTAGGGCCTAGGCAGATCGGCCAAGTGTTGCGGTGCCATAACCAAACAAACAAACATCTTTTGTGTTAAAATGATAGACAATACAGAAATTATTTTATCTTTAATAAGTAAAAGTATATACCAATTCTCTATCTAATTTATATTATAATATTATATAATCAAAATTTAATTTAAAATTTTCTATTAATTTTGATTTAAAGCAGCTAAGGACAAAAAGTTAATAATAATAATAATATGTTTACTTTTTTCGAGTATAAAATTATTTACCGAATTTCATCGATTAAACCTCAAGATTCAAATAAATCCCGGGAAATAAAAATGCTGTTGAAAATTTTTGAATTGAAAAATTTTGTTAAAAATCTTTAATGTATTGTACAACATACTAACATCGCAACCCTAATGTGTAACTGGACACAAAATGCATAATGGAAATTTCGAATTGCGCAGTGGGATTCCTATATTTTGCAGTAATTAATTGTCCGATTCTGGGTTTTAAGTATTTCTTTCTTCTGGTTATGTTAAAGTTAAGATATTTACCAAAATTATACAGTGTACGGTAAAATCTGTCCAAATCGAAACCGAATTAAAAAGTAAACAGCTTAAACGGAAAACATTCTTCGGAATGGAGCGATTTTCTATGTTAGAAAAAACCTGTTCAAAACGTAAACTTGTCAAACCGAAAAAAATATTTGCTATCCTGCGATTCCGGTTTACACAAGTTTTACTGTATAAAAGAGCTACGGAAGAAATAGGATTTACCATTCATATCAAATATATACAATAGGTATTTTTATGCAGCCGTAACATCAATATCATCTTTTAAACTATTAATATACAGTAGAGCGTCGATTTTCCGAAAGTCAATCATCTGAAACGTCAATCATCCAAAAGAATTCCAGTCGGCAAATTTAAATTTTCGCCAGTGCTGTGGCGTTGCAATCTTTGGCTATGTCTTAGGCTACTCAAATATTTTACGTTTTTGACACTAAATTAACATCTGAAGTATAATTTTTTATTATTTTTATATTTTTCAATATATTTATTTTGTTTGTACAAAATAAAAAAATAATTTTTAACGATNACATTTTAACCAAAGAATTATTATTTTAATTAAATCGATTTAGTGTTTTTATATTATTTACTTATTTTTTAAAGTTTATTCATCTATTATAAAGAACAATATATTATATTTCATTCTGAAGTTTAAATAATAATATTTAATTAACAATTTTGTAAATTATTATCGTCAGGGGGCGTATTTTACGCATAAAATCCATGGGATGTTTAGAGGAAAACAATAACAAACAAGTTTCGGTTAAGTTATGATGTTTATTAATTGGCTAATCGTGTTGTAAATTCATAAAAATAGAATAATAACTGTTTGATTGTATAAGGACTTATTTTCTAAAGTTATAAGCAAAGGAAATAAACTTTAAGATGTCAGAATTGAATTCGCAGTTAAAAGAATATCTTTCGAGGAACAATAAATCGAATTCCGAGGGATTAAGTACAAAATCGATAACATATTGGTTTACTAAGCTTCCGGAAAACAAATTTATTAGTAAGAACAATAACAATTCTTTTAAAGAAGCTGAAGAGGATCCTCTGATTCCAGCATTGGTGAGTTGCTTAGGAGTTGTCTGTTGTTCCATATTACAAAACAAACAAATATCTTGCACTAACATTTTTAGGCATTTACTGCTCTGGGGCCCCGAGATTGAAGCTGAATGAGCAACCACTAGAATTTTTTGTGGGTAGTCTGTCCTGGACGTTTTGGGATCCTATCCTTCCCCACCTGGGTGCCTAGTCTTGCATTATGTGAGTAGCAACACCCAATGTGTTGCTACCCACATAATGCTGAACTTGTTTAGGGAATGGTCTTGCTGAATGAGTCCAATATTGTGTGATATTCTCAATGTGTTCCTGTTACAACTTGCATAACTTGAGACTGGCACCCTCGTTACCCGCATTGTGAGCCTTGCCAAACTGTGCTGTGATGGGCGTAGAAAAAGACTATCTTAGTACCATCAGAGTGAAAAGAGCCAAAAAAATGAATAATAAAACAAATATATGTTTTAAACATTTCTTTCATTTATATATATATGATTGAAAAAACAAAAATGTATATTTTTTTTCATATAATATCATTTAGGCCTACACACACACACACACACACACATATATATATATATATATAAGGTTATATTTATTCTGTAGTGCATTTTAACCAAAATGTTTTCATTTGAAATTCTGTAGCTGAGTTTAGATTATTTATCATTTAGTTTGATGGGATATGGCAATGCAACTTATGAGCAATCTTCCAAAGAGCAATTTTCTATGGGAAACTGGCCCCTTTATGCATGTCAGATATTTGGAGAAAATCCAGAAAACTGTGGCCAAGCTATTGGTGAGTTCTAAACCAATAACCAACTTCAAGTGTTTAGTGGTGTTATTCACTTGGCCACTTGTGGACTTTTATTATTTAAAGTGATTCATATAGTCTAGGAAAAGCAGTAGTAATTCTCTAAATATTCAGATTTTTTATGCAAAATTTTCATTTCAGAAGGCTTATTAGTAATTATTTAAATGTTTAATAATAACAGCAATTATCAAGAGCATGAAAATACTAAATTTGTATTCATAACTACATGAATACATAATTTATGTTGTTTTTCATATCTGCTGTATAATGCAAAATTAAAAGGATAAATGATTGCAAAAATTATTAAATGAAATTAGATTCTTAATATATGTTAAATATGTTATTTAAAAAGCAACAATTTTTACTTATAATTTAAATAATTTGTGTTTCTTGATGGCTAAGATGTAAAGGTTGACATCTTTACAATCTGTTCTTATTGTAATATAAATAATACAAAAGCAATATTATGTAATAATTTATACTAATTTAAATAAGTTTATATTATTAATTTTAAACACTTTTTTTTAATTCAAAAATATTTTTCAGGGTAAAAGACAAAAAATTTTTGGTTTTATTGGATGCATTACAATGGGAATTTTATGTTTTTGTTTGGTAAGATATTTTAAATTTACATTATATATATTAATAAACAGATAAGTTAAGGTTTATCAGAATTTTTTATTCTTGATGTTTTTTAAAATTAACAATGTCTTCATATTTTATTACTTTCTTAACTAAAAAAAATGATAAAAGTAAACTGAGTTATTAAAGTGAAGGAGTATTGAATAACATATTATTTCACTTATTTATTTATAAATTTTATGCAATTTTCTTTATAACAATTGAATGATTTCTTTAATTAATCATGGACTTATATCATGCCCTTAAAAAATGTCAAATTATTTAATTTAGTTTTCTTCATTGTGGAATACATTCAACTATTATTAAATATTTAATTTATAATTATTATAATGTAAAAGTTATAATTTATATTAAGTTTTCTTCAAAAAGGCATTGCATAGAAACTATGTTATACACTCTCAGCTCTAAAGTTAAGCCATAATTTTAGTATTGAGATATTTTTGGGTTGCAATTGAAAAAAATTGTAGACCTATAAATTTCCATTGTCTGTCTGTCTGTTGATTTGTATGATATATAATAACTAATTGCTCATTAATTCAATAAGTAGTATAACAAGTAGTATAACAATAAGTAATTGCTCATTAGTTCTATTTTAGACAGAAAAAGTTTAATAATTTAACATAAATTAACAAAGTATAACAAATTATAGGATGGATATTTAATAATAAATTATTTTATATTTCATGATTATTTTATTTATAAATAAATTATTTATGTTATTAGATGTATTTATATTTTGTTTACATTTTGAACAGAAGAGATAAAATAATAATAATTTTTATGAGAAATAGATATGGTGATCGTAGACATTTTAAAATAAAAATATAATATTCAGTATATTAATATATAGTGTTTTTTGCATATAAGGATTAACTACTGATTTTCTTGTTCCTCTCTTAAACAACAGAATTATAAGAAAGCCTTTAAGTCTGGCAGTTGCAGAAATTTTTTTCACTGAATGGCCACAGATGGAATTGGGTTTATCTGGACTGAACAATCCTTGGCATGCCAATGATTTTTTCCAGCATGCCAGGGTTTACCTTAAAAAGTAAATATACAAGTCAATGAAGATGTTTGGATATTTTAACTAAATAGAATAAAATTTTATTGAGTAGAGTGATACCATTGAAAGACACTACATAAAAAATGCAATGAAGAAAAACAAACAGTATCAACTATTTTAGTAATAATAAGAAAATGAAACAAATATCTTATTTCCAAGATATAAATCTCTGCAATATAATGACTTACAAGCAGGTTGCCAATTTTAGTGGAAGATCTGCTAAGTTTATCTTTCCCAAAGCATCATCTAGCCACTAGATTAAATAATAATCTTTTGAAAATTTCAGCTGGCACTTGAGAAAATTTTGCATCATAGATTTGGCAATTTTCGTACATACATTTAAAAGGGTTGTCCTTCCCTGATCTACAGCAAGTATTCATTTGCATTGTCTACATTGCAATTGTTGGTAATCTCTATGTTGTAGGATTTTTAACTCTTTATTTACATTTAATCCTAGGTCTAGCATGTAAAAAGATACAAATGTTGGTGATTTAAAACATAAATACCAGTCCACATTTAATATAGGCATAATATAAATTTCTAGCAGTCCATAGTGCTTTATAGACATTATAGGCATATAAATAGTGCTCTTCAGCATATTGTTGAGTTGTTATCACATGACATTAGTTAGTCTGACCAAGTCATAAATTTGTCAATTCTGTGGAACCAAGCATGTTGGAAAATTTGTATATAAATTAATTAAAATTAAACAAAATGTTCATGTTATGAAATTATAAGTGATCCAAAATATTTATGAATTTTTTTTTATTTACAGGCTGGATTATATGTTCCTGTTTTGTTATTTAAAGCTAGAAAATTTGCACTGTTATACACAATGGGAAGTTTATTTGTCATAAGCAGGTAATTATAAAAATAAGAGTATTTGTCAAATTTATATCTTAGATAAATAATACAATATGCTAATTCTTCTAAGAAATTGTTATTTAATTGTAGATTCAATAATTACAATCTTTATTTTTTCATAAATAATAAATGGATGTTCCATTTTAAATTATAAATTAATAAATTATATATGCATTTGAAATATTGTGTTCCATTTCAAATTTATTTTTTTCTGCCAATATTTGGAAATTTTATTATTTGTATATTTGAAGAAGCTATTTTTGATGTAAAATTTTATGACAATTCTATTATTGTTGTAGAGTTAAAATATATCATATCATGTACAGTGGTACCTCAGGATACGAAATTAATCCGTTCCGAAACTGAGATCATATCATGAAAATGTCGTAAGGTGGATCATCTTTTCCCGTACAATTACATGTAAAACCAAATAATTCGTTCCAACACGAAAAACATACTCAAATTAAAGCCAAGTAATACATTTAAAAAAATAACTGTAGTAAGAAAAACAAATGAAAAATGCGAACTAATGTAACGTCGTATGGTGAGTTTTTGTTCATATCGTAGAGCAAAAATATGTTCGAATTTCATGTCGTATCCTGAAAATTTCGTATGCTGGGGCATTCGTAACCTGAGGTACCACTGTATCTAGTTTCAACAGTTATTGCAGATATGAAATACATTTAATTTTAATATTTTCAATTTGTTTTTTCTTTTGTTATTAGAATTAAACTTGATTACTTATACAAAAGAGAAAATACAAATAAACAAATCCTAAAATAAAATAAATTAATAACTAAGGGCTGCATTTGTATTTTAAAATTGTAATATATTGTACATATGTATGTGTTATAAAAATGCCAGATCATTATCATGGATAATGGATAATGCATTAACATGGATAATGCATTTCAGGGTTTTTACATGCATAATGACAGTGCATAATGATCTGGCATTTTTATAACACATACATATGTGCAATATATTACAATTTTAAAATTTTGTAAGTTGAATTGCATACTTCTGTCTGCAAGCAAGTCATACTAATATCTATTATGTTACACCTAGATGAGGGGTAATTAGTAACAACTTATATTTTAGAGGGGCGAAAATAGGCTGGGCGATATAGTAAAACATTATATTAAGAATAATTAGATATTTTATTCGTTATAATGTACAATAATTAAACAAATAACATTATAATAGTCACTAGTCTATTCAATGCAGTACGAATGTAGCATTAGCCTTGGCCCTCGGCATCGGAATTTTGAAGTGAAGGGGGCGATACTACGTAATGGTTTTATTGAAGGGGGCGACGATTCGTTAGAGGTTGAGAAACACTGATGTAGGAGGAGTGCATTCAAGTCAATTACAAATAAAATTACATGTCCAATAAAATTTCATAACTTTCTATGCTATCTAATCAATCATTAATGAGATTATTTCTATATATAAAATTTTTTACAAGATATTTGAGGATAACTGGATTAACCTAGTTTCCTCCTTCTTACATGTCACTGGTCTAAAGTAATAACAATTTTGTTTTTAGCCCTGTACAAATGATAAGAAATGAGTATACACTGTTATGAAGTTATTAACAAAGTATAGATTTAACATCAAAGTTGATATTAATGTTTAATTCCCAAATAAGAAATTATATGTTATATTTAATTAAACATTACATTTGCACAATATTTTGAAAGATTTAATTTTAACAATATTAATTTTATAAATATAAAATTTATACAATAACTGTAATTCAAGTAATTCAAAGGATTTTGAGAATTTGAAGAAAAAAGATTTCCATGGCAATGCAAAACATGTTTGTTTTTGAGGGGCTTTAAAAAAGAGAAAAATGGTAGAAATTAAAAACATTTGAATTTTTCATGCTCATCTGTAATTGGATGGAAGAATGATATTTCTCATTTGAACTGTGTGTGTGTGAAAAAAGATCTACCTCACTGATATCAGAAACAGACTCTAGGTCATTTGAACAAAATAGAATTTACAGTTATGAAAATAAGCTATAAAGTTTATAAAGCACTTAGTTCTGAAACTGGTCAAATCTGCAAAATATGCAATAAAAATCATTATTGTATATTTTATATGCACTTTTGAAAATGCTTATAAAATATTCATTGCCAAACAACCTTAATTTGATTTACTTGGACTCAAATATGTTTATATTGAAGTTTCAACATCATAGCATTTAAGAAAAAAAAAACATGCACATGCAAATCTAGTTCTTAATAGTAATATTTTGAATGTCTATTAATTATAAAAATTAAACAGACATTCAAAATATAAAATGTTATATACATCAGCAAAATTGTAATATACAACAAATCACTTCTTAAAATCATCAAAATATGTAATATATTCAAAATTAGAAATATATTGAAACATTGTCAGAAAATCTAAATTCAATAGTGAATAAATGGATATGATAGGCAATTTTGTCATATCTGATAACCTCAGTACAACTTATTAAAATATATTTTAATAAGTTTATAATATTAATATAT